TTCCCTGCCAATCCTAGTGTATTTCACGTTAATAGTGAATGAATTGAGAGGATGAAAAGTAGGAAAAAAATCATTTTCATTGTAAAAAATTAAATTAATTTTAAATTCAATAGTCGGATAGATGAAAATAAAAAAAAATCGGGAAGGAGTTTAAAAAAGGGTATGTTGATGCCGAATAAAAAAAGATGTTGGTAAAGGATTAAAAAATTTATTGTTCGTGACAGTAACAGCAACAGTAAAGTGTGGAATGGAATTGGAATGATAAACAGGTAAAGACCAGATTTACACAGCACAAAAAAATAAAATAAATTTCATCGCATTGAAATAACAAACAAATAATTGAATAATATTGAAAATCGTTTGAAAAACTGCCAAAAAGGATCCTTAAATCCTCTTTAAGGGGATTTTCTGTAAAATAAAATAAATTTCTCAGTTCCAACAGTGCCGTAAATCGCAATATTTTGACACCATGGAGACAAAAAAAAATAAGAGAGAATTCAATTGTGCATGGACACACAGGATTTCTTTTATTATTACTTCTATGCTCAATATAAACACCTCAAGGGATGTAATTTTTTTTAGCTGTTGTGTCACCTTTCATTCTTGGACCTTTTTCCTCATTCTTTCATTCTCGCTTATTGCTGTGAATGTCACACAAGAAATCTCTTTTTTGTTGCTTCAGGCAATAACTTTTCTATATATATTTTTTTTAGCAAAAAAGCAGCAGTACGTTCACATTGTATTGCTTCATTCTTTTCAATTTTTACAGGCCTTTCAACATTTTCTCCTATTTTTTTATATTTTATTTTGGCGATTTGAGGTATAGAATTATTAGGAATTTATTTTTATTTTTTTGGAAATGAGGCATCGTTAAATGTAATTATGGGGAGTTTTATTTTTACTTTTTTTTATTCTTTCATGAGTCTATTATGCTGTCTATTGTATCAAAATACAACATAAATTCTAAGCTCGGATCAAGCTGAAATTATGGATGGTAAGAAATTTAAGTGTTGATAATGATGAGGCGCATTTGAGTGATGTCTGCAAATAACTATAGATTTGGCAATGAGAAGATATGTATCGATAAGTTTGAGGAGCTCGTTGTTCAACTGGTTGTATGTTTATGACTGAACGATTGAGAAGATCAACTATTTTTTAAACGAGGGTTCAAATCACATCGGTTAAGAGGCACAACTTCATTTTGTAGTTACTGACTTATAATCCTCAAAGTTTTTAAGAGAAAATTGTAGACTCCCTTTAATCATCACAAAATTTTATAATTTTTGTTACCCAAATCGTTATAATTCTTCAGAATTATTTGTTTACCAAGTAGCTTCTAGTCATAGCTTAATTATGGCTCTTATCACTAATCAGAATACACATGACGTCTTCTAAAATAATAAAAAATAGATTAATAATCAAGTAAGACTACGAAATCACCAAAAAGTCTAATACAAAAAGAGCAAAGTCACAATTTATTTTGCTACTGTTAATAATGATGCAGAATTCTTACTCTCGATTTGTTAATTTATGCAACTAATTGCATGCTGGATGACCAAGATGATCTGTTGAAGATTTAGGACTGACCTAGCACTATCTTGATTTCAGGTACGCTTAAATAAATTTTATTTCTTCCTCTTTGTACGATTTTTATTTTGACGACGAACTGAACATACTCGAAATTGTAAAATACAGCTTTAAATAATCATGAAACATCAACGTTCAATATTTCTAAGTGAGGTTTAAATTAGAAGATACTATGAAATCTCGGTACCACTTCTAATCCTGAACTGGGTCCAATTAAAAGCAGAAACAATAGAAAGCAACTTTAAGTCGGTTTCCAATGCAACTCGAGGCAGCTTCTTCAGTCGTTTCTAGGAAATGTGTCACTAAAAAACTGTGTAAGCCTTGAAACCGAACCCAGAATCAAACTTAATTGTTGAACCATGACAAAAAATTTAAATCAGCCATAAGATATCAAAATTAAAGACAAACTGCACCCTTACAACCTCCAAATTCCATCACAGTCTCAAAAAATTGCCATCTAAGTTTGAACAAAAAGATATTGAATTTCTTTCAAATAATTTCATATCCAAAAAAAATAATAATAAAAGTGAAAGAACAAAATAAATTTTCAAATTAAACATTTTTTTATGATTTTTTGTTCTTCATCTGAATGAAAAAGAAGCACAAAAGCTTTCGCTATTGTTCGCGCGAATTCTTAAAAAAAAAACTTTTTTTTGTCCTCGTCCAAAATAAAATTTTTTGTCGTCGTCGCGCTATTAAGAAATAAATTGAGTTTCCAGGTGACAAAGCCAATTGAGGCATGATTTGAATTTGAAGAGAAATTTTTTTATCGGTGTCAAAAATCTCCACTACATCACGTACATCTCATCATGATGATGTGTGCTTACATATTAACATAAACAAAAGAGAGTAGACAAATAGTTTGAAGAAATTAATGATTTTTATCACTTCTCTAGCCAGACGCGTTTTGTTGATTTTTATAACAAATTTCGTGTATGCTCAATTTTTTTTCTTCTTCTTTATTTTATTATTTCGTTTTTCAGTTAAAATAAATATTTACTTATTCATCCGTATGTTTGAACTACACTTCGCACTATGTATATGAAATAATGTTGATGATGATGAATTTTGATGATTTTTTTACTCCATCATCATTGTAGCATATGGGATTGTGTGTCTATGATGTGATGTAATTTTGGAGATGTGTAGTAGCTGCAGTGTTGTCAGACTATCTTTAAATTTCTTAAAATTCTTGTGCAAAATAGCGAAGATTTTCGAAAAATTTAGATATCAAACATACGTCATTTATGAACAGCTCCCCAACCTAGTATGTTGTTTCTTCACTATCGAGATGTGTGTATATTTATTTTTTTATAGAGCCCCCATTGGAACATGACTTTGATATTTTTTCTTTCTTTACATGCTCTGAAATTATGTTAAACAAAAAGAATAAGATTGAGCAAAAGTAGTGAAGTCGAACTGTCTAAACTTTTGGCCCCATAAATCAATGTGTATTGATCTTCTTATTTCTTTTGATATTTTTTACAGTTTATTTTAATTTAAATATTTTTTTTTTAATCGAGATCTGGATGATAAAATTTTGATTTCTTTGAATTGCTGATTGTAAGGTTTGGCATTGGAATTTTGCAGTATAACGATGAATGGCTTAATTATGACAACAACAGAAAAATAACATTTTTCGTTTAAATAATATAAATTCAATATTGTGCATCTTATAGCATTCTATAATTTATGAATCAATAAGGTCCAATGGACGTTCTAATTGAATAATTTTTGATTAAAAAAATTCAAGCAAGAATATAATGCTGCCTAGCAAAAAAGTGTAGAAATTATCAACTCAGCTCTGATTCATTCTATGAAGGAAATAACAAAAAATTATTACTATCCCGAAATTTCCTCAATTTAATTTCATCATTTTTTTTTTTACTTTAATTTTATAATTTTTCTTTTTCACATGATCAAGGAGCTGATAACATTGCTTCCTCATAATGCTAATTTGTTGGTTTTTTTTTGTGATACATTTAATTTGTCAGCGTAATTTTCGCAAGAATTGTTCAGGAAGTGAGATCAAAATTAGGGTCAGTAAAAATGCCACTGAAAAGAATTATTTATGATGTTGGCTGAAAAGCTGTAGTCAGTAAACTTCAAGCGCGATCTAAGGGAGGCAATTGATCAAAATAGATAAGTAAAAAGGTAAAGAGGAACTATAAATATAAAAAGCATTTTGTAGGATCGAGCCATATAAAAGCGAATCAGCCAGAACACGAGTTAAACCTCTGTGGCGCGAGTGTTTAAGCAACAGAACTGATATTTTAATCCCTTTGCTGAGAAGACGAGGGTTCAAATCCCACCAGATGCCGATCTTTCAATCATTATATATTAGAGCATTGTAGACTTTACGGCTTTATAACATTACATAAAGTAACAAGCCAACGATTTAAAGGACTCAATAGAAATGTCAAAATAATAATAAGTAAAGAGTGACTGCCAAGCGAACGATCGAAACAAAAACAAAACAATTTAAATTAACCGCATCAATTACAGTGAAACAACCAAAACACACTTCGTATTTTCCGTGATCATGAGGAATTTTCGTGATAGCTTTTTGATGCTGAGTCAGAGATTTCAGCAAATATGAAATTTATTTTTCGCAGTTGATCACAAGTAAACAAATTAATAAACATCTTGTGATTAAATCATGTTAAAGAGTTTTCTTCGAGAATCAGTTTTAAATAAAAAAGAAAATATGAGAATCATCAATATTTGAGGGCAAGCAGCAACTAGTAAAGAATATGTAAATCCTCAGAATTATCTAAGTGTCTGCACTACAGGCTAAGTGCTATGTACCTTGAAAGTTTCATCCATTCAGACATGGCTAGGCTTTTGCATACAAATCATTAAACCAATCAAAATTGAATAATCCAGCTAGTCTCTTACTATTCAAAATGGGGATAAGCTAGCCGAATATTACTTTAAATATTTCGTAGAAACGATTTGAATCAACTTATATGTACAACATAACTCCCATAAAATATTATATACTAACAAGCTCAAATAAGAAAATAGAATTTAATTGAATTAAAATCTTCATCTTATTTGACAATTTAATAGTGTCGTACTTTTCCATATTCGTGCGGTATATTGAATACAGTCACACTTGCTTTTTGATAACATTTATGCGTGATAGTATTGTGATTTTTGAATTGAATTTTCCAGAGCTGGGGCTGCAAAAGTGATCTTAGCACAAATTTTATAGAATCTCCAGCTTCCCCCTTGATCTAGTCATTGAATCACATCTTCTGTTTATCGCATATTGTGCCTTTGATTACGATCGCTATCACATCGTATAACCGAGTAAAACAAATTAAGTGATAACGAATTAAATTGAAGCTGTTTGATCAGTTCGTGAAATTCATCACTCACCGAAAGATACTTGAGTAGCAAACATCAAAATGAGTTTGATTCAAAACAGCGATAAATTTGTTTTATCTCAAAATATTGGTAATTATGGTGAAATGTGAGTTAAATAATAAATTATTGGTGATTTTAAAATGAAAAAAAAAATATTTTAATGTTCAATATGAGTGCATGGAGGTCGTTGTGGAATCAACAAAATGTTGAAAAGAAAACTGCCTTAATTAAATTGATGGCAAAGAATAAGCATTGCTCCAGCTTCCCGTTCAGATAAAATAATTTTCAGATCTATTATAAGAAAGACTAGATTCGTCCCAGCAGAATTCAGCTAGTCAGCCAACCAACTGGTCAAAGTGAACATCCAAGCAAATTATTAAAAAGAAGAAAATATTTTTACATTTTATTATGAAATTCAAACTCGGATATTTAAATCATTAAAAAAATTTTAATCAGTTGAGTCGCGTTTTCATCAGTCATGAAAAATTTAATAAGTGAATTCAGTGAATAAGGTTGTTTAAAATAATTGCAAGAATAACAAAAATACAACCATAGTTTAACTATAAATACATATTTCATTAATATATACTTTAAAATCCTACAGAAACCAAACAACAAATGTCATCAAAACCGAAAAAATCCGTGAAGATCCTAAGTGTGCAATGTGTCGCAACCATGGTTATGACATTCCTACTAAAGATCACAAAACTTGTGATTTTAAAACTCAAACGCACTATGATACTTGTAATATATGCAAAATTACTAACGAAAGAAGAATTAGTATCTCTGAAGAAATCAAAATATTAAGGCAGAATAAGGCTGCAATTATGAATGAATATAGTCAACTATTGGTGCCAACTTTAACAACTAGAGGAAAAAGAGGACCTCAAATGTGTAGAAAGTGTGGATTTCATAGAATAATTGAACTTATGAAGGGACATACGAAAATTTGTCCATTTTTATCATGCACGTGTGAGAAAGGATGCGATAAAGTTAAACTTCGATGCAAAGCATTCAATAGTGAGGCTAAAATAATACGCAAGTTAAAGCCAATTCTTAAAGTACATTCGAAAGGATCAAATTATTTGATTATGAAAGTTCCAATCACATCAATTGATCAGCAAAACAGTCTTTTGCATTTAAAAAATCCATTGCCTCAATTTAATAGAGTTTTTGGTTCTCCTATTCAGGCTTCATATGAAAATCCAGATCTAATTAGTGTGTCAAGTTATTCAGACACTGAAAGAGATTACAGCTGTGCTTCTGATTTAATAGAACCTATCAATTTCCTCAATCAGTACAAACCAATTTATACAGACGTAAAAGCTGATCATTTTCAAGAAATTCCTTCATTATTGGAACCTGTTCAATCTTATTTTAATGATTCTTCTTATCCATGTCCACAAGTTTTTAATAATTTCTATGAAAACCTAAATGGTACAGATTATGATGTTGAGATCGGTTCAGTTATGGATAATTTTATGACTGAAAATATCGATTCGTTTATGGAAGAGCTCAATTATAACATACAACTAGAGTAAGGACAGTACTATTCAAAGCATGTTCCAAACTTGACATTAATACAAATTTTATTATTTTAAAAAATAACCTATTTTTTTTTAAATTTACTTCCAAATTGTACAAGTACATTCGATTAACTGAGAAGATTTAAAATCAATCAATCAAAATCTAATAATAATAATAATATTAGTAATAATAATAATAATAATAATAATAATAATAATAATAATAATAATAATAATAATAAAAATAATTAGAGATTTATTTTAAAAACAATAATTTTTCCATCAATTCCATAATTTTAAACTTTTAATTTATTTCTAATATGTTTAAGATAGTAAATATTAAAAACAATATAGCATAAGATTCTTAAAATAAATTTTATATTTGGTTCATCTGAGAGCAAAAGCAAAATATGTTTTTTATTTATTTTCTTGAAAAACTTGTAATTTTAAATCTTTTAAAATCGATTTTTGAGCAATTTATTTACAGAATATAAAATAAAACTGAAAGTAAAACAAATTTTTAAAATTACTTTTCTAATTCAAAATAATTCGAATGATTGTTAAATCTTTTTAAATTAATTTGTCGAACTCGAGAGAAACAATAAATAATTTTTCATTACAGAATATTTTAATTTAATGAATCACAAAAATTTCAGGCGCCTGGAAGGATAGCGGTTTTGGTATACGGTATTGGAAAATAGGTCTGGACCCCGGGGTCCCGGTTTTCGGGATCCCGGGATTGAAATCCTTAGGGTAAGGTGGGTTTGATTAGCTTCCATTTACCATTGACTTTTCAGAAATCAAAAATAACCAGTATTAGAGAAAAGTAGAAACCTTATTGTAATACATGAAAATATTCGTAAATTGAAGGACGTTCATTGAGAAATAAAATTTATGTTTGCCAGAAACAACACATTTTTTTTAAATTTTTTTCAAAATTGTTATTTTCAGTGCGTCAGAATTTTTTTTTCTGCAAACGTCATTAATTCATCAAAAGTATTTTCACTAATTTTTTTTTAGCAAATTGAAGATAATTTTCTGTCATTTTTGATTAGTTCTGGTGTATAACTATGCTCCTGCCTAAACTCTTTGACTTCCAAACATGTGTTTAACTATCTCGACATACAAATTTAATTCACTTTAAAAACAATCATCCAATACTGAGTTTAAAAGAGATTAAGTAATAACAAACGTACATCAACGTTATCAATTTAAAGACTGGCCTATCATTGCTTATTTTACTCGAGAGAACTCCTCTCTTCAAATCAATATGTAAAGAGTATGTATAAATTGAGCTCAATTGTATCAATGTTTCTTATTAATTATTTGGCAATCAAAGCTAGACTGTCATAGATTTTTAATTTTTAAAATTTATTCTTTTTGAAAGTTTCATCCAAAGTTCAATTAAAACATAAAACGTGATGAATACAAAGTAAGTTTGGATACACGAATCTATTTAGATTCATCCTTTGCTGGACTGCTGTGATAAAACACAAAACAGCCCTCACCACACTTCTATATTAATTTAACAATCATATTAGCATCAATTTCTACTCCTAATAATCCAAAATTATAGTTAAAGCTTAATTTGAGCTAGTTTAACTTAATTTTTGCAAGAAAAAAACTAAATTGCTGGGTAATTTAATATCAATTGAATAATGCTAATTTTTCATTTTTTGAAAAAAGTATTTTTTTCGAGTTTTTTGTGAATTATTTTTTATCTCAAGTGCTTTTAGTGTCAAAAGTGATTTTGATTAGAAAAAACGTGAACTTTGAATTTCAATTTAATAAAAAAAAAACATCATGTCTCATTTTTACAGTTCATTGAATAAGCAAGAAAAAATTAAGGAAGAACGAAAGAAACCAACATGTAGCATGTGTCGCAATCACAATGTGTTTAAACCTTCAGCCGGTCATAAGAATTTGTGCGCTTTTGACAATCCAGAGCATAGAATGACATGCTCAAAATGCACATTAACGTACGAAAGGAGAGTATCGTGGGCGAAAAAGATCGATAAAAGACGAAAAATCCATAAAATATTAGAAATAACTATTGAGGCACTTCCAGGTAGACAACGTGGACAGCAATTGTGTAGTAAATGTTTGACTCACGGAATCACAGCGATCAATAAGAATCACAAGAAATTGTGTCCCTATAAACTGTGTAAATGCGACAAATGCATAGAAGTCGTTGATTCCTGCAAAGCATTTAATAAAGAAGCTGGAAAAATTCGTGAAACTACGCCAAAAAGTCTACCACAAAGTAATAAACCAGTTGCTGAAATCCCAATTTCTGAAATGCCAATTATGGATGAAAATTGCATTGATCCAGAAAACGAACAAGTAAATCAAATTTATTTAGACTTGCTGACATCAGAGGAATCAAATCAGCTTGCCTCCATTGACATCCAAGGACCAAGAGTTGAAATCATTGACGACACAAATATGGAAGAATTTTACAATGACATTATGGACTTAATGGATTTAAATCAAATGGAAGTGAATTATGAGAATTCATTTGAAAAACTAGAATTCTGTGGACCTGAAGCATCGAGTTATTCAGAACCTAGAATTTTGAGCGATGAGAACCTGGAGAATTTCGTTGGAATGAATTTTATCAGCGATATTGAGTCAGATCTAAATGAATTTTTGTTCTTTGACTTTTTTGATGGCCGTAAATCAGAATTAAAATCTTCAGATGTGTCTTTTTCTCAATTTTGAACGGAAGCTATTGATGAAAGATTTCTTCTAGTTTAACCTATGTCCTGCTTTGTGAAAAAAAAGTTCTAAATACTCCTCAATTGATTGGAAAAATCAAACTTGAATCAATTTATAAGTTTCTTAAATTGTCACAATTTTTAAATTTAAAAAGAATTAGTCTACATTATATTACAACATAATATGAGGGAAAAACCACGCTTTATTTTATTTAAAAATTAGAATATTTTACCAGAATAATAAATTTCAATTCCAATTGAATAGATTCCACTAAACTACATAGTTTGTTTTACTAATTTTTTTATCTGTTAAATAATTTTCTTATGCACAGGATTTCATTTTGTTTCAATTGATTCTAGTTTGTAAGTTTTTATAAGCTGACTTGAGAGACACATTGTAATTGCTATTTAAAATCAGTCAAAGTCTAGTGCATCAAGGCAATGCTTGTAATATAAAAGCTTCTCCAGGTCTATTACATTAGAATCATACTTTGGAATATAAATAAAAATTTACTATGAATATTGAAAGCTTGATTGTTTCGAAAGGGATTGCTTTACGAGATGATTTCATGGATTTGGATCGCAATAATTCTACCCCTTTGCAACGTATAGAAACAGATCGCTTGGCTCGCCAAGTTTTAGTTAATACTAAGTGAACACGGTTGAACATACATATAATGAAGTAGGGTTTTTGGTAGGGTTTTTATAAAAAAAAAATCCTAAAAAACCCTTTATATTTTCTATAAAAAACTTTTTTTTGTCCCCTCCTCGTCAAATTCTTGGCCAGGCTCCTAAAGTAAAGAATCTGAAAAATCTATGTCTGTATCTACATGACAAGAGCTCAGTCTTTTTGAGCTAAAGGTACTGCGATTCTAAATCTATTAAACCACATTATTTAAACTTAAAGATTATAGTGGAATCAGAACCATTTGTGAGCTCAGCACATTTTAAAGGCACGAGTGCGTTCAAAGACCTGATGAACTCTGCAACGGACGTTATCTCAATTCGTGTGCGCAAGATGCTGTAAAGCTGACATCCAGATGCTAGTATATCCTATCGTACCTAGCAAAGGAGACACGTTATATGGCAATGAGGAACCATACTCTGCGCTTGTCCCAAGATAGTAAATAATTGTAATTTTCAAGATTTTTCAAGATTTTTCTAGATTTTGATTTATTTTTGATCTTAATCTGACGCACATTCTAAGTTTCACTGATAAAAATGTATTAGTTTTTGCTGACACATCAAGAGTACATGACTAAATAATCATTTTTTATTATTATAATTTTTTTAAGAATTCTACAAAATTTTACCAGCAAATGAATCATCTGCCCATCAATTGTTCTTGCTTCAAATAAACTTCAAATGCAAAAACACATCAACGGGTCTGTAAAAACAATTAAACAAGAAGAGAGAGAAAAAAATATTCTGTCGATCTCACATCATGACTTTGTGTAAACAGCAAGAAAAACAATCAAAACGAACTCGCATTCTTGTGCACACAAAAAAAATTTTTTGAAAATATTTGAAAGAAATTTTAATTCTTAAACGGCGCGCGGATGACGCTGATCGTGATGTAACATTCAACATATATATATTTTTTGGAAGTCAATAGAGAATGAGAAGAGATGAAAAGAAAACAAAGCAAAGGAAAGACTCAAAAAGTCAATTTGAAACACATCGTTAACAATTTAAGATAATAATATTTCTTCATGGCTGGTTAAACAAACATCATAATTTCTCGAGTGTTTTTTCAATAACTTTTCAAATACACTACTCGAATGGATGAATTGTCGATGAGGTTTTTGAGGGTTATTCATAAATGATGACCATGGGCAAAATTAATTTGCTAGGAGCCTCGTCTGTTCTGGTAGAAAAATGAATCTTGAAGTAAACTAGTAGTGCAACTTAGTAGTGCAACTTAGTATCGCAACTTAGTAGTGCAACTTAGTAGTCCAACTTAGTAATGCAACTTAGTAGTGAAACTTGGCCTAGTAGTGCCAGACAATAGTTTAAGCTAGATTAAAAGCTAGTAATGAAACTTACTAGAGTAACCTAGTAGTATAGACTAGATTTCAAGTTTACAATGTAATCTAGTAAATCAATCTAGTACTGAAAGCTAAGAGTGTAAGTTAATAGAGCAAGCTAGCAGTGCAACCTGGTAATACAACACGGGCACTCAAAGCTTGATTTGAGATCCTCAATGTAGGAACTTAAAATAGCTTTAAACCTAATCCTTCAAAAAAATGACGTCACCCAAAAACAACCCCCATACTCTCATGGTAATGAGAATCAAGGGGGGTGAAGGAATCCATAAACCCGTGTAGATTCACAATATGAAATTAAAAAACACAGACGATTTGAAATTGAAGAGCATAAAAAAGCGGAATGAGAGATGAGAAAAAAAAAATCTTCAGCCGATCAAGTTGAACGTAAACATTCATTTTGATTGAATTTGCATCTTTGAGTATGGAAAGAGAAGCGACAGAGAAAAAATTCTTTGCTATGGAAACCAATTCTGATTTTTTTGTGTGTTCATGTTCAATTTATGCAAGTGGATGAGAGAAGTGGAAGGCACAAGTTTGAAATGAAAAGCTGAATGTTGGGATTGAAAGGATGGAGAAGCGCAGTCGATTATCCTAAAAATACGCGAAAAGCAGTGTCATAGCGTAAATTTAAAAGATACTGACTGGTTCTTGCCTTTTTTTACTCTTCAGGTCTTTTAGATCGAACGAAAATTTCACGAATTTTCATCCTTTTTGGTTTTAATCGTTTCAACTTTTGGTGTCGATGAATGATGTAGTACAGTGCACCCATTTGGTATTTTACATCTTTGGGGAGCTTTCTTCTGCAATGTGATATGTGATAAGCTTTAACTTTTAAATTTCTTGCAAAATAAGCTAGCTTTATTCTTTTTAGATGTCGATGGAATAGATTTTCAGCAAGCAGAGTCAAAGTGGAAAATACATAGCCTATCACTAAGATGCTGAATACTTGAGTCAAATCCTTTAGTTCTAGATAGACTGGTTCATCATTAAATGTACTTTTATAATAACTTACAACATTTTGGAACTCAAAAACCTTCCAAATATAAGGCAAACCGGCCTCAAAACACAAATCCATCGTATTCTGAAACATTTGAAGGAATGGATTGAAGTGACTGGCTTCAAGTCGAACAAAACTAGACAGCAACCTTGTTGGTAACAAATAATAATAATCTAGTAACATGATTCCATCTAAAAGCTTGTTACTGATGTAAAACTCAGCGTGATCACATTTCGTAATTATGACATATTTACGTTCCAGTATCCTACTAGAGAAAGTATCTGTTGCATTATTAAATCTTACTATTTTTCTAGATGAATCAATCTTAAATTCTTCGGTGTCGTTAATCAAGGCAGCAAACAGTTGATTCATGAGAAACTTATATTTTGTTGCCAGAACTTCATCAAATGTTTTCAATGTTTCATCACGTATTGGATCTATCATAAAGGATGTGATGACACCTTGATAAGCATTGCTTAATACAAAAATCATCGAAATGATCAATTGAAGTAGAATAACCAAAACTAAGCGATTCCTGCGACTGTATTCGACGCCCTGTCCCAAAAACATTACAAACATGCCATAACCAAGCACCAATGGAGAATCAACAGCACCACGACCTCTGAACATCCACCAAACAGTAAAAGATGAACTAATAGTAAGGAATAAACACAACCAAGTCCAACCATCAAAAGGTTCAATGAAAATCAATTGAAAAAGTGAGGATTTTGGTGGTAGAGGAACCAAGACACAGAAAGCATCCTCTTCGTAAGTCAACAGCTTTGGCTCTAAACTATCAATTACATATCCATTATTTAATGTTAAATCCATCTTTCGACTTAACCAGATCTCTTCAATAAGCGTATGATCTGTGATGAAAATTTTTTTGAATGTAGAGTTCCGAGCTTTACTTAATGCCTCTAAATAATGAGTCATTGGAGTTGATAATCTATTTTCGATGAGCTATACTCGTGGTGGTTGAAAGTGAATCACAATATTTAGTTGATGTCCCTGCATGTCCTTTAATTTGTATGGAAACATCAGCGATTTGTTCACTTTGCCTGTAACAATTTTGAGTTTATTAAGAAGTGTTGGAAAAAGTTCGGTACGAATAGTTCCAGTAGCAGTTTGATGGACGACTGCAACATCCAGAAAGCCAACAAACTTCAAAACAACTATTATTAATGCCCGTTGATTTATGTCCATGGTATTTGGTACGATGAAAATGACTTTTGCCATATGATTCCAAGCTGTTCCTTTTTGGTGATTACGGATCATTGATTCTATCATTTCCTGAAAATTTAAATTTAAAATATTTTTAAATCATTATTCAATCATTATTTACCACGTCAGCATAATCGAGTTCTAAAATTATTACTGCTGCCTTCCTCAAACTTTTCTCTATTACAGGAAGCTGAAAATCAGATATAACAACAGGACTGACATCTTTAAGACATTCCACAATAGTATTGATATTAGATGTTTGACTTGTTCTGGATAAATTGCCTATAAGGACATCCTGTGTGTGGTTACTGAGATTAATGATGTCTTTTGTGATTTTGCAAATAAAATTTGGAAAACGATTGTCGAAGAGTGGATTTAGAACCAGTGAGTAGACACCAACTAATACATTTAAAAGCACCATAAAGAAATTTAGATGTTTCATTTTGCCAGAAAATTTACAAACTTTGATTTAATTTTTCTTTTCAGCACAAACTTTAAATGGTTGTGCTTTGACCAAAATTGTTTCTATGGATGCAATGAATGATTATTATTATTAATTACCTTTGGTGCTGGACATAAATTGTCGTCTATTAAAAAACGAGGTTTGTCACATAATTTTCTTCAAAATCATTTTGATAATTTAACAAGTTTATCACGTTAAGCAACTCAAACATCCTCCGAATTTGAGGCAAACCAACTTCAAAGCATAATTCCAAATCCAAAATTTCCAAAAAAATTTACGATACATAATTTGGAATTCACTGGTTTAAAAGGTTGCAGCTGGTCTAAATACTTTGAATGGCAGTTCCTTCAGCTCTAAAAAGGCGGAATCCTCGATTTAATAATTTCATAATGGGGCCGTTGACTTATGACGTCCGAAATCAACGGTCATTTTTTAAAAAAAAATAATGTTCCCAGGAATTTCTATTCTTTTTTTCTAGCCGACCCCCCCCCCCCCCCCCCCTCACTTGAAACCTGGACCTCATAAGTGACCTATGTAAAATCTAAAGCCTACCACAACTGCTTTCCTCTTCAAGGTTTCTTGAACTAACAAATATTTCACGAACTTTTAACTTTCGTGGTTTCAGTCTTTTTAATTTTTGGTGCCTGTGCATGATATAGTATATTGCACCTCTTTGATATCTTACATCATTTGATAGCTTTCTTTTGTTATATGCTATCTGACTTATCTTATCATTTAATTTCTTTGCCAAATATGCAAATTTTAAGTTACTTAACATGTCATGCAAAAAGATTTCCATTAGAAAAACTAGAAGCGATATCGCGGAGCCAATAATTAAGATGCTAAACACCTGAACCAAGTCTTTGAGTTTAAGGTAAGTTTGTTCTTCATAATTTTTATATCTTGGTATGCTTATGTCATTAAAAAATTCAAAAAGTTTCCAAATTTGAGGCAAGCCAGCCTCAAAGCATAAATCCATTAAATTCTGAAGCATTTGAATGTAGGGGTTTAGGAAACTAGCTTCTAGTCGAATAAAACTAGGAACTAATCTTACAGGTAATAAATAATAATACCTTAATAATTGTTTTTCACTAGAAATTTTGTACTCTACATAGTCACAATTCACAATCAATGCATGTTTATGTTCCAAAACTCGTTGTATAAAAATATTATTTGCACTGTTATTCCAAAATACTATCTTATTAAGGGAGTTTTTGAATTTTTCAGCAAAATTAAGATGGTCGAATAACATTGGTTCGATAAGGACGTCATATTTTGACACCAAAACATCATCAAATGTCTTCAGTCTATTACTATGAAGTGGCTCAATCATAAAAGAAGAAATGACACTTTCATAGGCCGTACTCATAACAAACATCATTATGATGATCACTTGAAGAAGAATGATCAGAACTAATCGATTCTTGCGACTGAATTCAACACCTTGGCCCATAAACATCACAATCATAGCATAAGCTAATAGCCATGAAGAATTGATTGCACCACGATTTTGAAACAACCACCAAACAGTTACAGAAGCAACAATAGTAAGCATTAAGAACAACCAAGTCAAGCCATCGAATGGTTTAACTATAATCAACTGGAAAAGTGAAGTCTTTATGGGCAGTGGAACTAAAACACATTGTGCATCCTCTTCATAAGTTAAAAGCTTTGGCTCTGAGCTGTTGATTACTATTGGGCTATTCAATGTCAAATCCATTTCTCGATAAAGCCAAAATTCTTTCATTTTTCTGAAGTCTTTAAGGAAAATTATTTTAAAATTTGAATTTCGAGCTTTTTTCACTGCGACCAAAAAATGAACTAAAGGAACTGAAAAACGTCTATTGACTAATTTTACTCGAGGTGGTTGATTTTTTTTTTTTTTAAATTAAACTTTTTATTTATTTACATTTAAATTTAAGTATGTACAAAGTTTCTATACATTTTGTTGCTTTTTGTTTTAAGGTTTCAGGCATTCAATTTGCCTTTTGTCTCTTAATTTTGATTTCATTTACGGATTTTACTTTCTTTTGTATTTCATTTGATTTATTCGGTGTTTTGAGATGCAAGACGACTGTTGAAGTTCGCTTGCAACTTTCCGACGTAGTCTTCGATGGACGGTATTTTCGCTTCAGTATGAAGATCGGTGATCCTTTCATATCTTGTTTTATTGAGAACAATTCTCAAGAATTTGTTTTGCAGTACTTGAAGTTTTTGAAGATGGGTTTTTGCCATGCTTCCAAACGCTGGACAACCATATGTGAATATTGGTCTGATGGCTAGCTTGTAGATGAGAAGTTTGTTTCGTACGTCGAGTTGTGAGTTCCTGCTGATGAGCGGATAAAGCTGTCTTAATGCGGTGTGAGCCCTATTGGTCACATACTCCACATGCGGCTTTAATGTCACTCTCTTGTCGATCACCATTCCCAGATATTTAGCTTCTGTTTCCCATTTGATGTTTTCGTTGAGAAATTTGATGTTATTTCCTGGTAGTTGCCTGGAGTGCCTGTTTGTGATGAATAAGGCTTGAGTCTTCTGTTTGTTGAGGTTGATCTTCCATTTGTTCATGTATTGTTGAACTTTTCTTCCTGTGTGCTGTAGATGTGTCACAATATCGGCCGAGTTCTCTGCAGAATGATACAGTGCTGTATCATCTGCGAAAAGACCGATGTTGTTGGTTGTCTCTCTTACAACATCATACGTGAAGATGTTGTAGAGAGTTGGTGAAAGCACTGCTCCTTGTGGCACTCCGAATTTGATTACCTTGATTTCTGAGAACTGACCTTTAATAAAAACTGCGAAAGATCTTTCACTGAGGAAAGATCTTACAGTTTTTATAAGTGGCAGTGGAAATCTCAGTTTGAGCATTTTGTACAAGAGTCCGTTATGCCAGACTCTGTCAAATGCTTTTTCTACATCCAGGAAGATCATGCCTGTTGACTTTTTGTTGTTTAAGTTTTCTTTTGCTGATTTGATCACTTTGATGAGCTGGTGAGATGTTGATCTTCCAGTCCGGAAGCCGCACTGCTGGTTTGGGATGATGTTGTTATCCTCAAGATGATCGTTGATTCTATTCAGTAATACTCTCTCCAGTATTTTGCTTATTGAGCTGAGTAGACTTATTGGCCTGTAGCTGCTTAGCTCATTTGCTGGTTTTCCAGGTTTTGGAATAGGAATCACTTTTGCATGTTTCCAAACTTTGGGGAAGTGGTTGAGTTTCAGACACGAATTTATGATGAATTTCAAGTATTCGAAACCTTTTTCAGGAAGATTTTTGATGAGTATGTTGTTGACTTCATCTAGTCCCGGAGCTTTTGGATTTTTCAGATTTCTTATGATGCTCACGATTTCGTTTACATCTGTTAGTTCTGGATTCTCATCATTGTCTTGTTCCAATGCTTCTTTGACTGTGTTGTTTACTTCCTGTGTATGTTGTGGATCGTTTTGTTCCAGAGGATTTTCGTGAGCTTCACGAAAATACTCGCTGAGTGCGCTGGCTTTTTCTTTGTTGGTGATGAACGTTTTACCCAGATTTGTCAATGGAGGCATTGTTTTTGAACCTTTTTTGCAAAATTTTGCTATTCTCCAAACTGTTTGGTTTGACGGTTGAATCTCTGAGAGACGCTTATTCCAGTTTTTGTTTTTGAGTTCTTTAATTTTCTCATTGATGACTCTCTGCAGATAATTCAATTCAGATTTGAGTTGATTATCTCTGCTTCTCTGCCATCTTCGACGAAGACTCCTTTTTGTGTTGATTAGATCTTTAATCTCCGGTGTGAGTTTAGTTGATTCGAACTTGATCTTTTTCATTTTTACACTTGAGTTCCTCGCTTCCATTATGAGTTCAGAGAGAATCTTAATGTGATTCTCGATCTCATCTGTTGTATTGCAAGAATTTTCTCCAATGTTGTCTTCAATGCGGCGTGAAATTTGTGCTTTGAACTTTTTCCAGTTTGCGTTTTTGTAGTCATATCTGTAGACTGTATTTTCAGTTCTGTCGATTTTTGATGTTTTGATTTGGAAATACACAGCGCAGTGATCACTCATTGCCTCTGTGCATTGAAGTTCTGTTGTTTCGAGGTTGGAATTCGAGAGCATCAGGTCAATTGTTGACACTGATTTGTTTCGATCTTCTGGGTAGTACGTTGGCGAGTCAGGAAAGTAGATCATGAACTCTCCTGACATTTCCTGAAGAATATTTCCTGATTTATTTGCAACGTTGCAGTTCCATTCTCGATGTTTTGCATTGAAGTCTCCACAGATGTAGTAATTTCCTCTCAGATTTGTTATTTTGTTGATGTCATCTCTCAGATGTAGATCTATTTCCCCTCCTTTGCTTCCTCCTGGGAGATAGACTGAGAGGATGTGACAACTATCCGTGTCATTGATGAAGACTTTGATTCCAATGCATTCCATTAGTTTTGTGTTGTAGCTTGGTTGAAGCTGATGTTTTAGATTTCTTTTGACGATGATTGCAACACCACCCTTTGGTCTATCCACGCGATCCAATCGATGAATTACGTAGTCTGGATGCGAGTCAATTTTTGAGTTTGGTTTTAGGAATGTTTCTGAGATGCAAGCAACATCGACGTTTTGCTTGCTTAGGTAGTCGAGAAATGCTAACATTTTGTCAGTGAGGCCGTTAGCATTCCAGTAGAGGACGTTGATACTTTGTTGTCTACAATCCATTATTGTATGCGGTGTTTTTGGCACTTGAGCCGATTGCTTGGAGTATTTCGTCGATGAACTCTGGATTTTTGGCGATTAATTTGAGAAGCTC